ATTTATATTATTATTGTATTCATATTTATTTATATTATCTTGTATTAATGCACACTCTGACTTTGTAATGAAGTGCATCGGCATTTTGCCGCCTTACTTCTACTTCTATAATAATAATAATAATATTGTACAATATCTTCGACAAGCATGTACCTCTGCTCAAATGTAAGAAGTTTCGTTACCCTAAATGGTACTCTGCAGAACTCAGAGATATGGTTAAATTGAAAAGTAAACTTCTTAAATGTCACAAACAGAAGTCTTCCTATGAAGCGTATGCTAATTTTTCTCACATTCGACGTGTGGTCAAACAACTTATTCGTCGCGATTTCAATGACTACATTGTTAAAGTGCAAAATTCACTGCTGAATAATCCAAAATATTTCTGGACATTTATAAAAGAAAAACGAGGCCGATCATCTATTCCAAATTCTGTTCATTTAGATAACATGCACTATGATGATCCACTAGATGTTGTCAACACGTTTGCTTGTCATTTTCGTTCAGTTTTTAACTCGCCTAAAATCAACTCATCTCAGTCCACTGCTTCTCTTAGTGATGCTAATAGCAACTTATTGTTTCATGTTCATATTTCGTATGACCTTGTACTTAGCGCTATTAATAAACTTAGAAATAATTGTATTTCCGGCGCAGACCAAATTCCGTCATTTCTTGTGAAAGACTGCTCAGCTGTCTTTATTAAACCGTTGTGCCATTTATTTAAATTAAGTCTTAATAACTCTTGCTTTCCTAATAAGTGGAAAATTGCAAAAGTTGTACCTGTGCATAAATCGGGTGATATCTCCGACGTTCGCAATTATCGTCCAATATCAATTTTATCAAACTTTTCCAAAGTTCTCGAAAGCGTTTTATTTCAGCAGATTTATTTCAATGTTAAGGAAAGAATTTCTATACATCAGCATGGTTTCATTTCTGGTAGATCTACGCAAGCCAATTTAACATGCATGTCACAAGCGATAACAGATGTGCTAGATCATAATGATCAGCTTGACGTTATTTACGCGGACTTATCCAAGGCGTTCGACAAATTAGACCATCTGATTTTGCTTCGTAAATTGTCTCCTGTTGGTTTATCCAATTTCTTAATAAAATTTTTTAATTCTTATTTAACTTCAAGGATAAATTTTGTTTTCTATAATGGTTATAAATCGGCTTCCTACACATCATATTCTGGTGTTCCACAAGGGTCCATACTAGCACCACTGTTTTTCAGAATCTATTTGAACGATGTTGTTGAGATTATAGAGAATTCCCGGATTCTTATTTACGCAGATGATACAAAAATCTTTCATAAAATTACTAACAGAGAGGATTGTTTACTGCTTCAACGTGACATAAACAAGCTTAAGGAATGGTGCTTGCTTAACTATCTGCTTTTAAACCTAGATAAATGCATAGTTGTCTCTTTCACTCTGTCGTACAGCTTTCAAGTATTTGATTATAACATTGACAATAAAGTTATTAACCGTAGTACATCCTTTAAAGATCTTGGGGTTCTCTATGATTCCAAGTATTCCTTTAAAGAACACGTTGCTAATATTGTAGATAAAGCTGGTAAGATGTTCGGACCCGTTGTTCAATTGTTCAATTCTGCTCAAGTCGTCTCAAATCATCAACAAGTTCCTCAGATGAAGTCTTCCACGAGATTTGTCTTTGTTGATACTGCAAGTTCGAACAAATCTGTTGATTACATCTCTAATGTGGGCCTTTAACGATGTTTCTTGAATTATTAAATAACGGTATTTGATCAGATATATTTGCTTACAAGCGGTTACAGAATATACATACTCTTCGTTTACGTTTGCTATAACAAGAAATAATGATGAAAGTGTCTTGTTCGACAGAATAAACCGTTTTCACAGTCTTCGCTTCCTAGCACAAAAACAAAGTTTTCGTACGCAACCACCAAGAGTTCTTAAAATGACTGTTTTATTGTTTTGAGCTTGGATCAACGAGAATTACCGCACATGGAAAACTTTAAAACAATAAAAACGACGACTTTAAATGCCAGGTTACAAATGACATTAGACATTAATGTGACAAGTGATAACTGTCATAATGGTGTCTAATCACGGGCATAATTTCAGCGAAGCGGGATTTTTGAAATCCATGGCCAATTACGCCGAATCATTTATAAAAGCTCTGTACAATAGTGCATAAAACATTAATGTTAATTCCCAACACCACAATAAAAATTGAACCTAAATTATTTTTCTCCTCTTCTGTTGCAGTTCCTTCATACACTTTTGTCCCTTTCCACTTTCTTCTATGCTTTCCTTCCTTTCTCTTAGATGATCACACTCTACACATACTCTATCTCGCTCACTAGCGCAAAATGTATTTTCTCTCCTCCTTGTTTTTGGTTTTTAGATATCGTGTCTTTTCTTTCCTTATTATCCCTAAATATCTTTCGCTGTACATATATCAAAATCGCTCCTACAGAACTCCTGCTACATCTGTTTTTCTTGACTACTCACTCTTTCTACTTTCTTCCAGGCGTAGCCATTGCACTCATAGTTAGTATTTTACCCTCATCTTCCAAAGTTTTTGCCCGCAGTCTTTTTTGTTCTTCCCGCTTCTACTCATAATTTTTCCCTTTTCGTTTCTTCCCTCACTATATACCCCGGTGTTTCTCTATCAAGACTTAATGTCCGTTTCAGATCTCTTTCTTGGCTTCTTTTTACCTCTTCAAACTCTATCTACCCCCAGATCTCTACTCCATCCATTAAAACACATTTAACCAAACTATCAAACAGCATGTTGTTCTTTACATGTGTCCTCCTGAAATTATATCTGCATCTCAATTTTTTCGCTTACAATTTCTTTCTTTTTCCTATTTTCATTAATGTACTTCCATACTTCTTTCTTTGATTTAATTTCTTTTATGTTTTGTACTTCTTCCTTCATTGCTTACTTTCGGTCTTTGTATTTACTTTCATATGTTTCGCTGACTTGCTATCTTTTGGTTTTTCCATCTTCTTAATGCCTTCCTTGTTTCTCTTTTTAAGATGTAATATCCATCATCACAGCAGTAATTTTTTCTGCCTCCACTTCATCTTACACTAATTTCAACATTCATTTCTGTATCTTTTATCAGTTGTTCCAATTTATCCCATTTTTTCTTGCATATTAATTTCCACAAAAGTGTGCGTTTCTAACTTCTGTTAGTGAGATGTTGTGAAATGTATAGCCTTCGGTATGATTAAACACTTTGCAAGTTTCTAACTTCTCTCCATATGTTCCGCTAGCCCTCTCATCCTATATTATTCTCACATATTTTCCTGCTTTCTCCTCCAATTTTTCTGCCATATTCTTCCATTTCAACCTCCATTAGCATATGTTTTGAGTCTAATCTTTCCCCCACTTTGAACTCTAGTACATAATTTAATCATCAGTCATCATAAAGTGCCGCAAGTTTCTCAAACCCCTGACGACTACCAAAACATCGAAATTAACAGAATTCTATTATATTGTGATAGAGCGTTTAAACTTACATTCATGATAGATAATACTCCTAGTTATTATTATTACCAATTGTTAACATGTAATTAATTACAGAGTAATTTTAGAGAGCTATATCTTGTGAGATAATTTACCACAGAAATACCGTCCTACGTATATAAAAATAGGAGAATATCTATAGTTGGAAAGATGATCTATTATCACTGTCAGATCGGCCTTCATATCTAAAGTTACAGGGCCTCACCATCCGTTTTCGTTCTCAAAAGCTGAAAGATGACCCACAGAATTTCTGGCTTGATCTTGCCACTAGAATTTCCTCATATACGCACACTAGAAAGTTAATTCAGTCTGTCCACACACATCCCATTGAGGTTTAACTTGATCCTCCATTAACTCCGAGTGCGAAATATATCTTTAGCTCGACTCGGTGTTCGCTAGCGCTCTCGTTTGGGTTTGGGGGTGTGGGGCTTTCCACCAAGCCTATGACAAGCTAAAATTACGTTACATCATAGGTTCGGTTTTGAGCTTACCTACCTAAGAATAGGTTAAGCTTTGTGTCAACCGTTTCTATCGATAGACATGAATAAACGGTCCACATTCTAATTTGAAAGGGTTAACACAAATAAACAAAATACCATAAGGTCTATAAACCTGTTATCTTCTTGAAAGTTAGTGATGCCTGAACAAAGAAATAGTTACACAAGATATCATAGACTGTAGCACCAGATTTTTTGACGCTATATCATAGCTTAAGGGATAACCTGTTTTAGCTGCGAGTAACTTAACCGAAAACCTATTAAAATCATTAAATATTGAAATACTTAATTAGTTTATATAAATTAAGACATTAAAATCTACTTGACAGCAAAATACGACGGACTGTTGAAAAGTGGAGTACCAAAACATCATGAACAACCTGTTGTTGTTGCAAACGTTTAAACAAAAAATACCAAAAAATACACTTATAAAATGGTGTTTTGTAAAAAATGTCCAAACAAGATACAAAGAATAAAGAATATGTTATAGCTGTCAATTACGTTTAGCACGTACATGAACTACTTAACATATATAAGTTTATTTTCTTGTTCTATACTGTCTCATCCAAGAAAAAGTAGATCGAAAAATTTGTTTTTAATTTGTTTTTGTCATGATTTTGTTGCACACGGATCTTCATTTGTTGCAAAAATTATTAAAAAGAAAGTGTAGGGATATATTAAATCGAAAAGCATCAAAACCCAAGAACACCATCATTTATTTTCTGCAAGATTTTTTATCATCTCAGAGGAGTGTAAAGAAAATCTAGTCCTTTTAAGTTAAATATTTGAAAACTAAACGCTCAGTGGTCTACACAGCGATCAATAGTTTACAACGAATGAAAATAGTCTTGAAAATGTTTGTCATATTGTATGTTGAAGTGTCAAATTCATAGACAAAGAATCCTGCTGACTGTATATCTGAGTAACATTAACTCTCTTTCAACAAAAATTCAACAGCTAATTCCATATGTATTTTATTTCCAGGCCAAGAGAATTGTCCTTACGACTACATAAAAATCTACGATGGAAAGAATGAGTTGAGTCCCGTTATTGGGACGTTCTGCGGGATGGGAAAGTTTCCTTACTCCATTATAGGCACATCTCAAGACCTTTTCGTCGAGTTCGTTTCGTCGCCAGCAGGTAAAAAGTGTGTCTTTTCTTTCTGTTATTTCTTTCGTCTACCAGTTTATCGGCACTCTAACGTTGTCGTTCCCACAGCAAACAAGTAACAACCGCCCTCGCACGGCATTATGTTTCCGGGGAAGGGCTGATCACGATGTAACTGGATCGGGGGTGCGTGAGAATTTATGGATGAATGGATAAAGTTTTTCGTTTAAGCGTTGATTCACATTTTGACTGAAACGGAAATAAAAAACTCAACACGTTTTCTTAATTATTTACTCCTGAGAAACTTGTCAGTATATTTGACAAAATGTTTAAAAAAGTACACGGGGTGGACTCTAACCTGGGACACATCGGGCACTAACACGGTGAAGAGAATTTTAGGTTTGTACCAGTGCACTTTAGTGGAACTCTTTACTAAGAACAGAATGCAACGTCCAAGGAAACACGAGTAACATTTTCCTCCAGATCTATTAATAACATTACTGAATCAACTATTGTGCTCGATGTATTTATTTTTTATCTGAAAAACTCCACTGGAACGCAAAAACGTAATTTACTTGAAACTGTAATCTTTGCCATCATCACGATGAGGTCGGTCAAAGCAACGGCAGTAATAAATAAAATACAAACCAGGATCCTTATAATTATCAAGATTGTCGTTTTCGTCAAGTTTTCGTAAACGAAAGCGTGTTTTTAAGCAATAAGCTAGTGATGTATGTATTTGAATATTTTCGGTTAATGGCCAGTCACTAATATAAAAACAGTAATAAAAATGCAGGAAGCAATAACGTTATAAAATAAGGGATACTTAATAAGAAATATGATCTTTCACCGTTAGCTGTTTTGAGATATTTTTCCATAAGAACTGCATTACTTTTCCCAACACCATCAAGAGTCATTCTTAAACACCCACATGAAAATCAAGATACAATCAGCAAGAAATAACTGCTTCTGCTATATAAATACCTTGTGTTATGATATTTTAATAAGTATTAATAAGTGCAATTTCATTCTCGCTTTGCCCTTCTGTACTCACCTCAATTTCATTGCGTATCTCATGTGACATTTCAAGTTTATATAATAAAGCTTGTTTCCTGTTATAATCAACCTTCCTTTTGTTTTAACCACACGTGTATCAAACCATGTTTTGTTCAAAACTGCGATGTTTCATGTAGTTTGTCGTTATTCAAACATTTGTGATTAATAACATCTTTCCCAAAACTAATGTTGTAAATCCGGCATTTTTTTCTGTTTCGTAAGTCTGAATTATTAGTTTATAGGTTTCATCTTTTAAATTTGTTCTATCCACGTTTTAAATTCTATTTAATGTGTCCGAGGATCGGAGGAAGAATGATTTTTTATAAAGTTTATTATCTGTTCTTCTATCTCATCCCCCACTGGCACTGTCATGTTTTTATTATTTAACAAGTGTCATCTTTACAGATATTTCTTCTGGTTTTTTTGTTCGAAACCTTGTTCATTTCGACTTTTGATATATGTTCAAAATGTTACTTCCATCTTTTTAGTTTCTCTTCTTTTTTCTTTTCTAGAAACTTCTGTTTTTGGGCCCGGCATAGTTGGTTAACTTTTCTCCTTTGATCATTATTAATTTTTTCTATTTTTTCTTCGTTTTTGTTTTCATCCTAACTAATATTCCTTTCAACTCTTCTTCACGTTTTCCATTTTCTTTTTGTACTGAAGTACCTACTTTTTGGCTTGCTTCTGCATATGATTTATTTTATAGTTTTCATTTTTGACTTTCCGAGCCTAAGTTCACCAGTTTTGTTTTCTCGACGTTTCATGACCTCTAGAATACGAAAAAAGTGGTCTCCCGTTTCTGTTTGTCCGTCTGTCTGTCTCTCTGTCCGTTCCTCCATCTGTTTGTGTCAATTTTTATCAGACAGATAATCTCAGAAGCTACTGGACCAATTGTTGTGAAATTTTGTGTGTATATTAGGAATATCATGCAGATAGTAAAACGCTAACCAAAATTTAGCTAATCATCCCTGTCAACAATTTTATGAAATAAGATATTCCTGTACTTGTGGTTTACGAATCTGCTTTGACTTTTTTATTATTAATAGATTTGTTTATTGTTTAATCCGCCCTCTAGCTAGGGTGGCTCAATTTGTAAAACAAATGACCAAATCAAAAACGATCACCCCATTTTCTCGGAAATGTAAGATTACACACGTTTTTCTTTAATAATGATACAATAAAAATTATGATAATAATAATTTGCAGAATATTTTAATTTTATTCCCCTGTTTTGAGGAGAACAACTTATTCAAATCAAAAAAATTCTACGTGACATTTGTTCGATGTCTAAACAGTCAAGGTTAAGCATGTTACTATTGCTGAGAGGGCATTTTTCCCGTTGGTTATCTGCTTTAAATATATTTTACATTGTCTGCACTTGTGCGGATCGTGTTCCCTTGGAATTTGTGCTCCTAGGGTGCAGGGGCTGAGGGGGTGTTATTTATGACGCTAGTTTTCACTTTATAGAGGTTAGCAGTGTTGTCACAAAACAAAAATCGCAAAATCAAATTTTAATAATTTGTCAACGAAGCGGGAAATTTTGTCTGTTGAGGTTTCCTTTTACGCTTAAAACGCATTTTCTTGAGATTTTTTCGTTCTAGTGTGTTACCTTTCTTTTGATAGCATTTAAAAGTCTAAAAAATCCTGAACTGAGCGATTACAAACTATGAAAGTTACATTTTTCTGGATTACTTAAAAGTTTATTTCTGAATCATAACGTTTCTCGAGACCATGTTTCACAATGAAATGTGAATATTTTTTCCCAAAACCAAAAATGGGTTGCTTTAGTATCCGGCAAAATACTAACATTTTGCATGATTTATTGAAAAAATAATTATTTTTTCAAATGTTTTGTAACTTAAAGAAATTGGGAATTGGTATTACATTTTTACCATATTAATAATTTTGTGTTAAAATTTAAGACATCAGTTGAAAATGTATACGGAACAAATAATAACTAAGAATGATACAGTGTTTCTATAAATGATTATAAGGTCGAAGAAGGTCATGCAAGCGGGCCGCCCCTCACTTTATGTGGACTTTACTAAATGTCCAAGGACTCACGACAAATACCGCACGCATCTGTATAACTGGTTGCTTAAATGCTTCATATCTTATTAAAAAATAAAACTAATTCATTGCAATAAAAAGAAACAAATTTATTGCGGTTAAATGTCACAGTAAATGTTGAAAATCTTCACCATTTTGTTCAAAGCACATTCTTTATAATTTCGGAAATGTTCTGCAACCTTTTTTCGTCAATGCTTTGGACCCATTGCTCAATTTCATCTTGCAACAGGAACTCCTGGCTGCTGAGACAATCTTGTCAAAAATGTTTGTAGGTTCTGCTCGAGTCGTCTCAAATCATCAACAATTTTCTCAGATACTTAAGGTCTTCCAGGAAATTTCCCTTTGTTGACACTGCCAGTTTGTGTGAGCCTCCAACGATGTTTTTTGAATTTGCAAATCAGGGTATTTGGCCAGATATTCTTGCTTACAAGTGGTTACAGAATACACATACTCTACCTTTACGAATGTCCCATTGCGACAATAGAGACATAACAATGAAAGTGTCTTTTTCAACAGAGTAAACCATTTTCACGGTCCTCACTTCCTAGCACAAAAAGAAAATTTTCGTACGCCAGCACCAAGAGTTTTGAAAACGACTATTTTGTTGTTTTGAGCTTGGATCAACGATAATTACTATAATTCACGCTTGAAAAGCTTTAGAACAATAAAAGTGATGATTTTAAATGACAGGTTACAAATGGCATTAATGACAGGTGAGAACTGTCATAATGAGGCATAATTTCAGCGAAGCGGGATGTTGAAATCCATGGCCAACTACATCCTTAGAATCATTTATAAAAAAACCCTGTATAAATGGTGTATATGTAACAATCTAATTTAAGTATTATAAAAAAAAAAACAGTTAGTTTAATGTGGCAAAAGAAAAAACAGAATGACTACGTAGTAACTCGCTAACATAAAAATCTGAAAATCCATAAAAATGTTATATGGAACAAATTAGCATTGAGCCAGCGAAATGTATAGGTACAAATACAATTTTCGAAGATGGGCAAGCAGACCACAGCGAATAGACAGACGAAATGGGAAAACTACTTTTTCAAATTCCAACATTTACGAAACGCCAAGTAAACATGAAATTACAACACATCGTACCTTATGCTCGTGAAGTAAAAATAAATTTACAGCAAATATACAAGTGAGTTATGTGACTTCACAATTAGCGACAATAAAATTGAGAAATATTCGATAGAAAAAAAAATTATCAAACATTTGTCCAACATGTTGTACCAAGACAAGTAACGATTAAATTTCTTGATAGTTAACTATAACTTTATGAAACTTTACACCGAAGAACCAGATTTGTTGGACTGTACTTCGGGAACGAGGGAAGTTCTATAGAAATAACTTTCAACTAATTTTTTCGCTTAATAAAATAATGCTTTTAATAAAAAATGAAACGCACGATTACGCCCACGTTTTGTATTTGAAGACAACAGATATCTAGTTTCATGTACTATTTTTGACTTTATTATCTCTAAACATTTGTTCAGTCATTGTCAGAACACAGTCTGTGGAATATTTTCGGAATATTCTCCTCAGAATCGCATTATAAACTAACAGCAAAAAGATGAATAAATTTTCATAATTTTTTTATATTTATAAATATAAAGATTTTTTCTTTTTGGTCCTTTGGATAACTGACTGCAAAAGTATATATAAAACAGAAAAGTGCCATATAACTAGTCGCCTTTTTTAACTATTTTGCATAAACTAATAACCTGGCAAAAAACCGCCGTTACTAGCTGATTATTATACAACTACAGCAAATGATATTTCAATTTACCCCATCCAACAACATCCATTTCATTGCTTTTAACCCGCGGTTATTTTCCCCATCGATTTATACCAATACTGAATTCAGGATTTAGCAGACAAATTCTAAATGACAAAATGAAAAGAGAAGTTAGATTGCTAATTAAAGCTCGCTTGTAAACAATTAATGGTTTATGGTTGTTCCAAATTTAGACTTTATTTGTTTCACTGTATAATATTCAAGACGTAATTAACTGGTATGATCCGGGGAAGCCTGTGGTTTCTCTGATCGTGGAGCTTTGAATTTCATAGAATGAAAACGAACCCGTGGCAAGTGTATTAAAGTTACAACTTTTGTTCTAGGGGTTATTTTTAGGTCATTTCAAAGATCCCATTTAAGAAAAAACCTAATATCAATAAGTTGTATTAATATTCCTGTAACTGTGAGCATCATGTACTTATTTAGGGCATTAGTTATGATTTTTTTAATATGCTTTTAAGCATTCCACTCATGTAACAATGTTGTTGTGTTTGTTGCTTTTTTTGGTATTGTTGTTGATGTTTGAGTTAAATCTAAACCGGGAAACTTTTTCAACAAAACAGTGTGTTATTGTTCCCGCATTCTAATTTGTCAAACTTTAATAAATCAAAATAAACTTTGTTTGGGGTAGGAATTATTTGTTTGGTTTAGAACTTCCGCAGAAGCGATTTTCTGCAAAGGTAAACTACCTAACTGTACTTTTATGAGTTTACAATTTATATCCACTTACTGACTTTAAAACTGTCGACGTATCTGCAGGAGAGCGCTCATCCTCAAATTAATAATAGGAGGCTTGTTTTGGAAGGCTGCGAAGTTTATTTTAACTTTCCACCACATGTGACTAACATATTCTCCTCAGGAACTAATTAAATTTGTAAATCTGCCAAGCTGGAAAATTTTCTTAAACAAGCTGCATTAACTATTTGTTATTATGTCAGTAAAAACTGGCGAATAAAACAATACGATTTAATTCCCATCTAGTCATAAATTTAAAATCAACTTGCAAAGAAATCATTGTAACTTTTGACATAGATTTTCAGTTTAAGTACTGGTAGCTTTTAATTAGATTGTGAAATTATAGCTGAGGTCGGTCTGTCTGTTAACCCTGTTGATAATCTTCGAAACTAATTTTTCAAATTTTGGACGTACTTAAGAATATCGTGCAGACCAAAGGTGCTAATTAAAATTTTACTTTGTCATATGTTATCTATCAAGATTTATGCACCAATGACACTCTGCAATTTTTTTTTTTTATTCCGAAAAAATTGTTATTTCAAGGGAACGTTTGTTATCAAATTTTCTAGTGTTTTAGGAATAAGGTGTAGATGATAAAACGCTTACCAAAATTTGTCTAATTGTCCCCACCAACAATTAAATAACGTAAACGCAGACTTTTTTAGAGTAACTCCTATTTACATTTTATAAAATAACACACTCCCTTACTTGTGATCTGCATGGCCCTACCGTAAAACGGTTTTTTATTGATCAAATCAAGAACGATTCACCCCATTTTCTCGAATATTTGAAAATACTGTCACGTTACGCGCGCCTATACTTAAAAAATAATAATAAAAAAATATATTATCGTTGTAACAGACTATAGAGAACTATAACTTAATTACGAGTCGTCTGTACTTCTCTGTCTATGTATATCAAAGGGAACAGTTTACTGTCAAAAATCCAAATTTTAATGCCAAACGCTTTGTTCCATCCTCAGATCTGCAACAGGGATCAAGCTTAAGCCCGTCATTATTTTTTTTATTTATTAATGTTCTCGTGGAAGTACTTACTGTGATTTTTTGTATTGTCTTATGAGTTAGATTAAGCTCTACACCTTATTTCTTTTTTCTTGAAATAATTCCTGTAACTGAATTCTTCCCGTTGGAATCAGTATTACTACTACTGTTATAAAAACAACCTTCCGTGTTCAAGACTGCGAAAATATAGATATTTTTCTTAATGACAACCTTATTTTTACAAAACGTATTCTAAAAATATACAATTGACTGTAACATATTAGAAACGTAAGAAATAAATTACAAGGAAAATAATAAATTGGTGTTTCTATTATTGTTCTAAGATAATTGTTGTACACACTGTAAATACAAGTTACATTCAAAAATAGAAAAATAAAAATAAAACTGTGACTATCAACGAACAAAGCCACATAATAGTAATAAATGAAAAATTCTTTTGGTTTCAGTTTTATGAATATAAATTACTGTATACATAATAAGGTAAGCCACAATTAAACATTGTGTTGTTCGTGTTATTGAAACATACGTAACTCAAACGCAAGAACTGTGAATGTTTTATTCACAAAATAATAAGAATTATAAATATGTAATCAACAAGTGTTAATAAACAGAGCAATGAATTTGAAAATCTGAAATTGTTTAAGTTTCTATCCTCCCCTTCGTATTGATTTCTACCCCTATTGTGTAATGTTATGATTTATGAGCTATGATCTTGAAATGGCTATTATCAAAAATAGGTATAAACTTTCCAGATTAAACCAGCTTTCAAACAAAAAAAAGCATTGAAATCGTTCATCCGTTTGGGAGCAATTGTGTCACAAATAAACATAGAGAGAGATAAAGGCTTCAAAGTTATTATTTTCACACACCTAGAACAAGGTGCTTTATAGATATTCCCCCCGGTTGTCTACATTAAATTTCTTCATAAAGTTTTTTTAATAGCAAATAGTCTTGATAATACACCAGAAATGACGTATGAAACTAAAAAGTTACGAATTTTCACATACAATTCATGTTTTTCAGGTCCTCTGCTCAACACGGGTTTTCATTTCAACGTCGGTAATTGGCCCGGTCATGTGGACACAGCCGGAAGCCGAAACGGTACATGTGATTGGCTGCTGTCCTCCGAGAGTCTTCGAGCATCCGGAGATTCTGAAGGAATTTTCCTGTCGGTCGCCCACTGGTATCCTCCACACACCAGCTGTACATATCTAATGCAAGGCGAAGACGGAGAAATTGTCAGATTATACTTTCCCAGGTTTGCACCTGACGTAACGACGTGCTTCTACTAACAATGTAAAATTTCAGTTTCCGAATAAACAGGATCGAGTCCCCTATACAACCCATCGAGGGCGACTGCGGCGAATCCCTTACATTGTATGACGCTTCGTGGCCAGACGACTCGAAAATTATCAAGACATTCTGTGATACCTTTTCCAAAGCAATGGAGAAACACGATTTCGTGTCAACTGGAAATGCTTTATTTGTGAGATTCGAAAGCAAGACGGGAAGTTATAGCGGCTCATCCTTGTATTATTGGGCCCATTATGATTTTTTTAATAATACGAAGCTGGGGGAGCCGGTTCCTGGAAAATCCTGTGATGAGGTTTTTGCGTCGTGGAGGCAAACGCGAGGGTGGCTGAGGTCGCCACTGAATACTTTAGTCTACAAGCAAGCTCAATCTAGCGAAGACGTACAGTGTCTGTACCGATTTGTTACCGATAAAAGACTTTTTGCGAGAGTGATTTTAACAATCACGGGTATACACTTCAAGGAGAACCCTTACAATCAGGGTCCCTGCTCAAACTGCTTGGAGGACCGTGTTGACAAATTGGTCATGTGGGAGCCGCTACCACCTGGGGCCAATACTTCTTATCCTCCCATCCCTTTGACTAAAGCCGCACAAAGCGGCGATGTGACATGCTTATGCAATAAACATACTTCATCCACTCAGATCATCTCGAGAGGAGAACAGCTCAATCTTCAACTCATCGTAGACAGTGCTCATTCCGCTTTGAGCTACTTCAAACATAATGCTCCGCTTTTCGAGGCCACTTATGAATTTGTCCACGGACCGCTGTGTGGCCCTCCAATAATTCAACCAGTTTTAAACGGAGAAATCCACTACCCCTACTACGAAGCAATAGGTTACGTCGAGCCTCCCAAATCGATTCGATGCATATGGGAGATCAAGGTGAACAGAGAACGCGACCTTTGGTTGCATTTCGATCGCATTAAGTTTTCGTCGAAAGCTTGCGACGACGGCATCGTGGATATTTTCCTTAAAGGTCGCCTAGACCCTTACTTGTCGATCTGCGGAGAGAACGTCTCCCTTGTTAAAGAGCTGCCAGTTTTGTCAGCAGCTGAACTAAGTCCCGATGGAGCCGAACCTGGAGTGACAATCCAGTTTATTGGTCGAACGTCACCTACGAGAGCAGCGTTTACTATTGCGTGGACTGAGCTGTTTCACCTACCTAGGAACCAAGACGGGAGTTTAATGTCTTCTAGACTGACAGGAGGTGGCAGTGTCGAAGAGAATGTGGAAGGCTGTGGATTTGTTTGTCCGGGAGAAGCAGGACTGTGCATAGCTGCCGGACTCGTATGCAATGGGGTCATAAATTGTCCCAACGTAACAGATCACCCAGGTCAGGAAAAAGTCATTATTTGTGTATGCACCAATAGAGAAGTAAAGCCAGTATTAATGTTTGCGTCCAGCAGAGATTGATAAAAATACATTGGATATAATCGGGACATTTTCAAATATTTCTAAAAATAAATACTTGAAATACTTTTGCATTTGTCACAACTTTTGTAAGACAGTGCGTCTCCGACGCACACTTTTACCATACACTTACGACAAAGTTAAATGTGCCGGAAAAATCCATTATACTTTACCTAAGTTCTAAACAAAATGAAACAGAACAACTAAAAATGGAGCACTTGTTTTTTTATATTAGCAGTGTTCATGTTCTTATTCACTGTTGAATGTTCTTGTTGTTGACAAAAAGACAGAACAGACTCAAGTCGAAGTCATTTACCCAAAAGAAACTAAGACTGTTCACAATATCATTGAAATCTACTGTATTTACGTCGCAATCTGAAGCAAAATATAACCTCTATTCGGCAACGTGCGTGTAAAATTATAAATTTATGGCCTTTTTATTATCGTACGAGGTTAAGGTTGAATTTCATCATTTCTGTGCATGTCGACGTCTGGTGTACCTAACTGATTTTGTTTTCTTCCGCAGGTCCAGCCTTCAGCGACGAGTCAGCCGAGCTGTGCGTGTCGGAGCACAATCCAGAAATCAATTGGGTTTATGTCGGGGCAGCCGTGGTGTCAGTGTTGCTCCTCTTGTGTTGTTTTTGTGTTTGTTTATGTAGAAGGTGCTGTAGATACTGTTGCAGCGACGACTAAAGTTCAATTTTACGAAACCGAAGCCTTACAATGAACCTTTAACGAAAAAAACAAGGGCAAGTCTTCGCTACGTGACAATCCCACAATAATCAGATTTTTCGTTTGTACAAAGCCGTACCACACACGATGTAGTCGGAGACTTGTCTTTCGCACTTTAAAAGACTTGATGAAGTAAAGCGAAGTGAAGTGCACATCGATGGAACTTTTTTGGCAAGCACTCACATTTAGTTTAGGTCATTAGAATACCGTTGTATAATTTCCATTGAATGAAATAAATTTGAACCTTGCACAGTTTTTACGATTCAAGAAATAAAGCGATCATGTTCTAAAGTTTGTTTTTGTAAAATACCTAATGCCAAAAATTCGAAAAAGTGTATATTTTTAGCGATAAGTTTTTATTTGAATGATGTACATATTATGTAATGATTTCACATTTTCATGTGATAATAAACCATTGTTTAAAAAACGATTCTCTTACTCGTAACACAATACACCAGAAGAAAAACGTCATCAAAATTTTATTAAAATCATCACTTTTACAGCTAGCAATCAGAAACCGCATCACTAACACAACTGGCACGGGTGCATCAATACAAAAAGACAAAAACACATGGGGGTTCTGTCAGTCAAGTTTTGTACAGTACGATATCAACGATAAAATATAAAAATAAACAACAAAGATCAATTTCAGTAACTTTGTACTAATTTACGTTGAAAATTTCCTGACGCACTGGGATCGCAAATTTCTAAGTTACACGGAACAATCTGGGTAGTTCACTGGAACCTCGTTGAGGAAAAACATAACGCGGAAACGTTCATTGCCGCGACATCTAGAATATAACGAAAAATTCGAGTTTAAATTTGTCTAGCTGTAGGTCCAACATACTGACATAAGGCAGCTGCTACATTCGAAGCAAAGGGGTCGAGGGTTGATGTACGCCACTGACGCTGCTGTTGTTGAAAGTAGTTATCAGCTGTAGGAGGTTGGTTGTCTTTACCTATTCCCATTGCAGACAAAAACGTTTGTATTGTAATAGAATCTGTGAAGAATACTGTAACTTTGTTTTGAACGTTGGATCCGCCACCATTAACGGTTCGTTCGAATTTTTCGTAGACATCTTTAAGAGGTGGGCATCCTATTTGTCTATTGATGTCGTTGCCATAGCCAGCTTTGTAATAATACTTGAGATTTTCAGCGTACTCTAACAGTTTTAGTTGTTCTTTGTTAAAAACTATGCACCAAGGAGATGGCTGGTCCAGATTCCTGCAAAACAAATATCAGTTTGAATTATACACTTACTTAATTTTCCTTATGAAAAGAGTAAAGATTATTAAAAAGTAAAATTACATAACCCTTTGGACCAAAGAAATTCCTTAATTTTTTAATATAGCGACGCTCAGAATTGTTTAATATGATTACGTTTTTTTATATAAAAATGCAAATATATTAAGTATTTTGTGATTGCCATAACTATTCTCCGTTTTTAATAAGGCATCTAAATCTATTAAAATGCATGTGAATCAATCTTTCAAAAAAACACAATTTGGTGTGTAGTTTCTAAATGGAACATTTCTACGTTTGACGGCAATTTTAACTGCTATTATAACATTAAAACAAGACAGACATATTTTAAGCAACTTGATTTTCGCGTGAAGAACATGTTATGGAGATAAAGCTGTGAATCACAAAGAGGGTCAACACCATGTTGAAATCACTTTAGGAAAATGATAACAGAAATAACTAACTAAGTTTTAAAATACTCATTTCCGTCTTACTTATTCTACTAACAAGCTATACAAATAAATTGTTCAACGACGTTTTCACAAATTTTCAATTCTTTTTGATTAATTAGAAGGAAACTGATTAAAATAAATTATTGTTTTGTTATTTTGAAGATCATTTCACCTTTAATTAAAAAGTGTGCAACTAATAATATACCTACACAACACTGGATAATTTTCAGGTGATGTTATGCACGCCAAAAATATCTTGGTCACACCTCAAAGTAGATGGTTTGTGCTTTTATGGTTAGAGATATTAATTTTTCTCCTTATAGGGTGAACGAAGACAACTTCAAAAAGATCATAACAAATGTTTATGCTGATTCTTGTTAGGTAAGCGCTACTGAATTTTTAATTTATCAGTAAGAAAGCATAACCACATCTTTAAGGGGCGATAATTGATTTAAAAACGATTCATTATGACTGAAGTAATAATTAACACTCAACCATTAGCACGCCCTATTATTTTGGGCATCGAAAATATGTGATACTAAATACCAATTTGCGAAGATGATGGCTCTGGATTTATGCTATTTTCAAAATTAATTTTATGAGTGATGAGCAACGCGCGGAATTGTGTTTCATACGCTAGATCCAGTGCTGTCGCGGCGATAGTTTGGTTACAAATATATTTTTCTTTTGGACTATATCAACATAATATAACATTTCAAGATCACAAATCTGTGGTCCTGTGTTTGAAATTAAAAAGGGCATCGAGTATTATTATTTGAAGTAATATAGTAATATAGAAGTAGTTTTTTAACAAGCTGTAAACACTCCTAGCGACGCACTGGCTACGACCTTGTGGACCAGATCAAAGCGTCCCCGCTACTCGCCGTAAAACACACCTTACTTCAAATGGGGGATTGCAGCGATGAGATAGATTCCCGCGTACTGGTGATGAGGAATCAGCATTAAAATACTTATTCGATTATTTTCAGTAGATACATGCGGTCCCTATTTATAAATTCATTCATTAGAGCATATTTACTACTCAAAGTGAATTAAATGCCACGGGGTTTTTATTTTGATGTCAGATTTTATGAAGATAAATTAATGAGAAGGACTCACGCGGTTTTAATCATGACTTTCGAACCCTAAGTTTAATTTTTTATTCATTATAATGAATAAAAATAGTAAGCAAGAAGATATCTAATAAACCTAACATATTTATCTTTAACGCATTCGTGATTTTACTATAAAATAATTAATGTTGACATAATAACACCCAGAAAAGAATACAGTGCAAAGATAAGATTAAAAACTAAACTAATTATTGTTAATCTTAGTCTCTTCATATCATATGTGAGACAATTTCAATACATATTTGGGAGCTATCAAAAAGTGTCTTTCATTAGTTTTTTTTTTTCTAGTACATTTCTTGCAGTAGATAGTCTTTAGCTCTGCTGATCATCAAAGTTAAGATTACTAACACATTGAAATAAGTTTTCTTTTTAGTTGAACTGCTTGCTTAAACACCTTTTTTTACTGCGACATGTTTCAAAAATCTTTCACTATTTTAAATAGTAGTGTCCCGTTTCAAAAAAATAAATTTCGCGCCAAGAAAAAAGAACAACGCCGCGAACACTCATTTGAAAAAAAAGTAACGTAGGCAATGACCCATTTTTTTTGCTGTTGGGGAATAACGAAAAAATCATCCTTGGGTTGGTAATTCTAAAGAGTTTTGTAAAACAGTGCAGGTAGGTCATCAACCACATGTATGTAAAAGCGATAGTGATCAATTTCTCTTAAATCTTCTAATTCTCCAGATGAACAATCGTGGAATTGTTGAAAGATCAAGTATCATTAGATTTGGTGTCCTGTGTTTTGTCTCTTAGCACCATTAGAGTGATTAAACTTAGTAAATAATCATTTTGACAACTTCTTTTCCTTGATTTCATTAAACTTTCTTCTCTGGCTTCACTTATTCCTTTTCTTCCACTTGTTTTTTCCCCGATGTATCAGCATTATACTCTAGATTGTCCTGCTTTTCATTTCTTTTTTGATTCTTTCTAGGAGTAGCTTTTGGTAGAGGTAGCACATGCTCTGGTTTTAAATTAACATCATCACATTCAGTTTGTGAATTATCACTCGTTTTTGCTTCGGCAGTCTCATCATTTATACTTGGTTGGCTTATTTCACTGCTGGTACTTAGCTTAATAATTTCAGTCAATAAAATCGTGATTGTTTTTGTTTGGTACTTTGGAATTTGGTCGATCAGTAACTTCGTTCGCTGTAAAATCTTGGTTTTGAAAAATGTAATCTTTGAAAGGATATATTCCTGTTTTTTGATTCCGTTTACACATGTTGAATCGAAATAGTTTTGCCAGGATGACTGCTGTCTCAAAAGAACTAAATACACCGACGTCTGGGGGTTTTGCTCGCATGAATATAGGTTAACCGCTTCAATCTTTGGATGGTATCGGCCTTTAGGATAGCGCGTTCCATGTCGATTGATGCTCCAAAATTGAATAGGTGTACAATCTGCAACAATCACATCGTAATCTATTCAATTCTGTTTGTCTCAGTTCATTAAAATTGATCTTCAATCTGAATAAGAACAAGTGTTAATGGAATGCCAGAATAAGTCATCACTGAGACACTGAGTTATGCAGTAATTTAATAGTTCTCATTAATGCTGCATGATAGAGGCATTGCTTATATTATATTTATTTTAGTTTGTAATATATGACCTTGATTACAGTCACCTGACGGATTTCTGACGTATTAAAAAAAAAAACTTCAGTTTTTTAGAAATTTGCATACCGACAGAAGCTGGGAAAACTTGGTCACAGAAAAATACATTTATATGTATGTTCATTTTTTTAACACAAAATAATAAATCTTATTAGATCCACATTTTCTAATTTTGTAATGAGCTCAACATACTTGATATCGTGTGTTCATTAGAACTCTTTCCAAACACAATCTGATATCGGGTTTTCGTCTTTGATGTAACAGTATTTTTGACAGCAGTCCCCATTAGTGGCAGAAATTGGTTAGTTAGTTAAAAAATAGCTAAAAATTGTAAAATAACACTTTTTCAAAACATTTGCCTACGCCACATCCTACTAAGAAGCTGAATGTTTTTGTTAACATTTTTTTCACTTCATCAAATTTTGTTTGATTTCAGTATAATTTTTGATCCATTTCGGAAAAATGCATGGTCAGTGAAAAAACAGCCCCTCAATTAAATTACCAAGGATTTTAGAAAATAATTCTTAAAAATTATTATGCACATAGTGAATATTCTGTTCACCTGTTAACTTTCTATGAACTATAAATATTTAACAATTTTTATTCCAGTTTAATATTATAGAAGAAAGAATATAAGAATATAGTTTTGTTGACTCCTAATTGTTGAAACAAATCTTTTTAAATAAAAAAGTAAAACACGATGTGACTCAATAAATTAAATTATTGTACCACAAACTTATTCTACCACAAACTTATTCTACCACAAACTTATCCTCCATCCTTACTTGAAATAAGGTGAGTAATAACCATTACCACAATTATTATACGTGATTTTGTTAGTTATTCAAATTATGCTTATGTTTTCTCCCTATCATAGATATACCAGATGTATCTTCAAAATTAATCTGTATGTATACACACAAAACTCAGCTTTTTATCACCTATTTATTAAATTTTATATGTATAAACTTATAACAGCTTTGTTGAACAAGCATTGTCTTCGTTATTGCTAGAATCAACAGAGATAAATAAAAACTATATTTAATGATATGTTAAATGCCATAAAATAATAGCATAGTTGTTTCAGTTGTAACTGCGTACGAACTGCCTCCTACCCTCCTCAACATTTTGTTTTCTAAAATAATCATACTTTTCATAATGATTTGATGGATTTTTTATGTCCCTATCTAAGCTAGTGAGATAAAAACTAAAGCTCCCATTTCCGTTTGTCTATTATCTGTATATCGGCGATTTTATTAAACAAGTAATACGTTCCTATTTAAGTTGGGCAAAATAATACTTCTCATAGGTTTGATTTTGAGCAAGCATTTCTAAATTTCTAGTTTCGTATTTTATTCACCAAATTAAGAAATATACAAAACTAAAAATAGATTTCTGCAGAATATTTTCTGCTATACTTAAAAAAAATAAGTACTCCTAACCCCTATTCTATTTTAACTAAAACAATCAAAACATATTAACATTTTTGTGGACTTCTCGGTAGATATCTAAAACAAACGATAGATAGTCCAACCCAATGAAAAATTAATCACAGATAGTATATTTCAAAATTTCCTAAAGACAAGAGATAAAATTTTATTTATAGTGCTAACACAATGACTCACCGATTCATTATTGGTTGTTTAAAATTTCCGTAATAATCAGAATTGAGGAAAAAAATGAAAAATAGATGGCGCTGTAAAAATGCATATGACGGTTCTAAGAGAGACAAATTTGACAGCAGCAAGCTTGTGCAGTGTTTGTACTGTTTGTTCGATTTATATTTGTACTTAAAAGTGGTTTGGTACCTACTTCTATTTCCTAAAAAAATACAGTAGTAAAATGAAGATTTGTTTGGCGGATATTGTGTCGTACATCGGGGTAGGTGTTCGTCCCATAAAAGAAGGCCAACGGGTATTTTTAGCAGGACATGTAAGATCATGTGGCAAGTCGGGGCCACATGATATTTTAGTCACGCGTTTTTTCTCCATTTTATTCACAACTGAACACATTAACTAGTTGGTTTGTACACACACAAGCAATGGACAAAAATCAGGTATCTCACCTAGAGAATTTACAAGATTCTCCACTAGAGGCGCAACCATCTGTGATTGTCATCAATAGGATCAGTCTACTAGTTTCCACTTAATTACAGGTAGATAACCACTTTTTGTAAATTCGTCTGCTTTGAGTTCCGGTGCAAAACCGTGGGGGTGACGTGCCTCGGTGCCAAGCTTATGCGGACACTTTCACGCCATCAGATGGTGCCTTCGGTGGGAGCGGCGGGGCTCGGGCGCCAGCTCCCTCTTCGGGGAAGGGAGCACCGGGGTTGCCGGAGACACGGATCTCCAAGTAGTCTGATGAGCGCCCGCGGAAACAAGAAACAAAATAAAACAGAGGAAAATGAACAATAAATCGTTATAAATACTTTTACGTTTTCTCGACTTTTCATGACCCCGAGACCACGAAGAAATAGGTCTTAGACAGATAATTTCTGAAACTACTGGATGGTAAAACGCTAACCAAAATTTGTCTAGTGATCCCTACCAACAACGTATTGACATTTCCACAAAATTTTGTATAATTACTATATCTTAAATTTCATAAATATTATACTCCCACACTTGTGTTTTGTGGATCAGCCCTGCTTTTGTTTATTATTGTTATTGTTATTATTTAATAACACGTTCTTTTTGCCACATAATACGTCGCATTATAACTTCAATATCGATGACCAAAAAAGGTGGATGTTGTAGCCTAAATAAGTAACAGTTTACTTATTTCACAGTTGATACATCACTGAATGTAGAACAAAAATGTCGTCTAGTGTTACTTACACACAACTTCCCTCGCCCTTGGAGTACAGTTGAACAAATACAGATTTTAAGTTCGTCTAGTTAATGCCAACGCGTTTTCGGTGTTGTGGGAATAAACGTTATATTAAATACAAAATGTTCGAAACATTATAAAATTCAAGTGTGCAAATTTTATTTTTACTTCCTGAGCGTAAGCAAAGAAAGAATTGTCTTCAAAATTAGATATCCTCGTTCAGTCTGTATGCCGTCTGTCCACATTTTATTAACCAGATAATCTCCAAAACTACCGGACCAATTGTTGTCAAATTTTATATGTACACATACAGTACAAATGACAATCTGAATTTACATCCATCCTATTGATTTTTTTGACACAACGTAAAGTGAGGTTGTATGGGAGTTATGTAAGAGTAACTGTATGTTAGGAATATCGTGTAGGTGATAAAACGGTAACGAAAATAACGAAAATTAATGTGATAACATCTCCTGAAATTTTTTCATAGTAGGTAGGATTTAAATTTTATAAAATAGCATAGTCCTCTATTTGTTTTATTGATTAAATCTCTAAAGGCCGATTTCATAATCAAAACTTAAAGGACCTTTGTGGTCGAGTAGTCTGATAATTGCCTTTTGACACACTAAATAAAATTTGTTTATAATCCGTCACATTACGGCACGATTTAATTATTACACGATTTATAGTGCCATAAAGTGGTGTTATGGAAACAAAATAGTACACTAGGGATTTTTCACGAGACATTGAAATTAATTGAAAAAACGTCATAGCAACCAACATGACCTCATTTCTTCTAATAGAATTCATTCATCCCCTTAGTTACATGTCTATCACAGCGATAATAATTTTATTACCTTATTGTGGTCTGTTGCTACCTAAATTTAAAAAGTGTCAAATAGCGCCAATATTTAACTGAGAAATTATAAACCTTGATTGGGATGGTGTGAAGTCATAAGATTCTGGATTCACAACGACAATCTTGATTCTTATGACAATGACGATTGTTCTGACTCATATTGACATCTCCAAAAAATAGATATTTATTTTATTAGGAGTTTAAGTGATACTGTATGTGGCGAGTATGGACAATTAAACGCCGAGCGATAGCGAGGCGAATTAAGTCCATACGAGTCACATGAAGTCACTTAAACTCCGAATGAAATACAATATTTTATTTTCAAACGATTAATCTTCTTTTGAAATGATTATTTCCTATCTTCTTGCTTCATTAAGGATTTGCCTTGATTTCACTTACCATGGTTACTATGGTTGACAACCACTATGATTTTCACATATTTATACTCCGGCGGAGTATAAATGTTTTATTTATACGCCGGCGGAGTATAAGTTCTATTTATACGCCGCTCAAAAACGCTGTCATAGAAATGACACTTAAACCCCGGTAAGAACGTCATATAAGTGTCAGTTATATGACGTTTGAAAATAAAAGTAATTTATTGCCCGTTACATAGTTATTCAAATCATTCCAAGGTCCGTCTGTAAAAAAAGTTTTTATCAAACAGCCGGTCATCAAATGTGTCCATAAACCCTTGACGATAGGTAACCCTGGTTGGAAAATCCGCTTCTTGTAGTGCTTACACATATTGCGGATGTTGCAGGGGTCTATTCCATTACGTATCTAACATTACCAACATTTTTGGAGTTCTCTTATGTTTCGATCTACCACTTCCCTCCTTTCTTTGTAGAAACGAGGTTTCTCGGAGTTTTGTCAACATTTTTTCATCCCAATCCGCTCAAATTGAGTACTCCCACATACCGTTTACTGTCTGCGCATTTAAAAAAAAGAGTCAATCATTAACACATTCTGTTCCAAAAGCATTTTTGAGTGAATCCCTCAATACGAACATAACGCTCTGAAAAGAACTATTTTTAATGTAAAGATTATTTCTCCAGGAAGCAACAGGTAAGAAATCAAGAAAAGTAAGGTTGGAAGAGACAATTCATGTAACAATCAGTTTATAAAGATCTTGCTTTTTGTCTTTTTGGGGGTCTACTTCAAATGCAAGTCTATAAAATTGTCGTCAATACTTGAATTAAAATTAATTTTGTTAAAAACTTTTCTATAACGTAGCTTTAAACGCAGCGTTAAACATAATAAACTTGATGAAGTAAAGCGAAGTGAAGTGCACATTGTTGGAACTTTTTTGGCAAGCACTCACATTTAATTTAGGTCATTAGAATACCGTTGTATAATTACCTTTGAATAAAATTGTTGAGTTGAGTTGAGTTAAGATGGCCGACCAGGACGGTGGTTCGCAACGTGTTGTGTGCTTTGTGTGCAGTAGAGTAGCTGTTAAAAAACGCATCTTTTGTGCAGATTGTCAAGTCTGGTCACACATTGGATGTGCTGAAAGAAAACCATGTTGCATGCCTACAACTCCTGTTCAATTGCCTGATCCAGATGATCCGAATGCGATTAAATACTTGGTAACTGCCATAAATTCTTTGACCTCTTCTATCTCAGATATGAAAAAGTCCATCAATGATATACTATCAGAAAATAAAAAACTCCGAAATGAGTTGGAAGATATAAAAACAAAGGGATTTACTAACAATGTTAATCAACAATCTGATTCAAATATAGAGGAAGTTATTTCAGAAGCCAGGGATCGTATTCATCGTGAAAAAAACATAATTATCACAGGTCTCCCGGAAACAAATGGATCACCTGAAGATCGTAAAAGGAAAGACATGGAAAAAATAACGCAAATTATATCTACCGCTATTCCCGAAAATGATTACAAAATAATGTCTGCCATGCGTCTCGGAAAATCCAGCTCTACCAAACCCCGCTCCATTAAAATAGTTTTCGATAATTCCGCCACAGTTAATGTTTTAGTTCGAGCTAAACCTAAAATAGAGTCTGTATATTTTAACAATGGTTTAACACCCATGCAACAACAACAGGCCTATAATATACGCAAAGAACTTCGCACAAGACGCGAGAATGGCGAAAAGGATCTCCGTATACGCTACAAAAATGGTATGCCTACAATTATCAAGGATACAAAAAACCTCACTCCGATCGTAAAACAGGATTAAGTCTTTTCTACCAAAATGTGCGTGGTTTACGAACAAAAACGACAACTGCTTTTCTAACTTCCTTGAATATGGACTACGATATTATTATATTAACAGAAACTTGGCTTTGTAGTGAAATTTTTAGTAGTGACTACACAGTATTTCGCTTAGACAGTGATCTAAGATCCTCGGTAAAAGCTCGTGGCGGTGGTGTTTTGATAGCTGTGCGTTCATACCTTCTAACCGACATGGTACGCGTTCCTACTACTATATGTGAAGAATTATATGTTTCCATCAGGTGCGAAAACTATTTACTAATATGTGGCGCAGTTTACATTCCTCCAAATTCTAGTATCGATACTTATCTTCAAAACATAGTCTCCATTGATTGTATTCAAACATCTTTTCCTGATGCTTTACTTTGCATAGCTGGAGACTATAACTTACCAAACCTTGTTTATTCATCTACTATAGAAAACCTTATAACAGGAACTAGTGATAAAGATAAAATTATTTGTGACAGCTTCTCTTCACTAGATTTAATTCAATACAATCGCGTAGCTAATAACAACGACGTTATCCTCGATTTAATACTTAGTTCAATACCAAATACCTTTGTAAAAAAGTTATCTCAAGGTTTAGTTCCAATCGATTCCCACCATCCGCCGCTTTTGACGCTTATTAATTTACCATATTCTACACCCTGTATTGCTCCATTGGCAAGTTGGCGTTATAATTTTAAAAATGCCAACTATAGTGAATTAAACGACTACTTTTCTTCACTTAATTGGAATTCCCTACTAGATTATAACGATATAAACTCAGCAACTGACTCTTTTTATTCTATTATATTTTCTGCTATCGATATATGTATTCCTAAATCTAGACTATATAATTGTCATTTTCCAGCATGGTACAAGCCTGACACTATCAAACTTATTAATAAAAAACGTAAAACTTTAGCCCTCTATAGAAAAACTTCAAATGAAAGTCATTACAATTCTTATAGACATCTTCGTAGCCTTTCTAAAACGGCTATCAAAAAAGATTACAAAAAATACTTAACGTATATACAAACCAATTTAAATCATAATATGAAGATCTTCTACAGTTTTATCAACTCCAAAAGTCAAAACTCCAAATCTTATTTTCCCAAATGTATGAATTTTGGTGACACCTGCTCTTCAAAACCTAAAGACATTGCCAATATGTTTGCCAATTTTTTCAAGTCTGTTTATAATCAGGATATTATCGACCCTAATATGACACTAGGCCTTTCAAGCGTCAACAACAATGTCGATTTACACGACATAGATATCAGCATCGATGAAGTAAAAAATAAATTACTGTCCCTTAATTCTAGTTTTAATCCTGGACCAGATGGTATTCCTTCATTCTTCTTAACGCAGTGTGCTTCCAGTCTTGCCTGGCCAATCTGGATTTTATATTGTGATAACCCAAACTTCCCGCCTTAAAAATTGACCTTGAAACAGTTTGAAAGGCCCGCAAAAATTTAAAAATTCAAAGTTTGGCCTTGGCTGTGATCGTCTAACAAATGAGAACCTACGTTGTGTGTTTTTTTTTTGTTTTTGAAAAATGGCGGGAAGACGTTCTTTCATACAAGTGCATACACGGTCGAGAGCGCAAGAAATAATAGACAAAATTAGGAGCCTTCCTAAGGAGGAAAAAGAAACGAAGAACGACAGACGCTCGATTTGCCCTTCTGGCGAGTCCGCAGGGCCAAGGTGTCATCGGTCTTCATTCCCCAAAACCCCCTGGGGTTTTATTCACCGACATATTACATGTCAGACACCTTAAGATATTTGAAAGAAAAACACTCGCGAATTGACAGACATACACATATGAAAACCGAACAAACACAAGACCTACACATATGTAAATTGGATGGCAGAACCCGAATCATTATGAGAGTGTGGCGATCGAACAAAATATAGAACAAAATATATCAATTTCATTTACGAGCACAGCAAAATACCCAGAGGGGGCGTTGTAGCGCAAGTAGAGGTTGGGACTCCTGATCGTCACTGTTCTCCCCCACGACGGTGATTCTATCTACACCAACGCCTGCTCACACGCATCTCTCCATTACGAACGTGCCCTGCGAAACGAGGCGGTTACGATCGCAGATCCGTAGTGGGGTCCCGGCTATGGACAGAAGCCGACAGCGTTAAAAACCCGCGATCGCCCCCTGAAGCTATACAACACCCGCGGACTTGTGCAGGTGACGCGATTAATCCCGTCAGTTTGAGAAGAAGTCGCGCGCCCCACGTACACTACGAGTTATGTGTCATTTACCTTCAATTCCATTTAAATGTTCAAACTCTATGACTCTAACATTAAATGACAACCGAACAAGTGTTAAAGTTTCAACCAAGAGCAATAAACAACATTTAAATTCGCCACACACTCTTACGAAAATTCAACAACAAATAATTCTTAATTGAGATTAAATTTGGACATCAGATAGTTTATATGAGAGAAACATTCATCAACAAAACATTTACATGATCAAAACTTAGCAAAGATTTATAAAACAAAGATCTGGTGTGAAATAAGCTTGTACAAATTAAATATCATGTTAGGTCAGAACTGTAGAGCATGGAAATTTACGTTCAATGCAAATTATACAGCAAGAAAATTACTGAAGCTAAAATTGTGAGACAAAGACAAATTGCATGAGGTGAAAGATTGTAAAGTTAACAGATTTACATGTGATTAATATTAATTCGTGTCCAGTCAAGTTATTGGTTAAAATTCAAACGTGAAATTATTTAGCTGCATTGTGGGCCATTATTACACATACATTTCCCCAAACAAAACACATAAACAAACATGGCAGACAAGCTGCAGTTGCAAAATGGCGTTGGACGAATTCGTCATTCCAAATAATAGGCGTCGAAAATATGCGATGCAAAAATACGATGAATCCTGTGGCGTTGTATAAACGTTGTGCTAAATCCAAAGAATAAAGGCACGTCCCCCCATGACCCACAACGTTTGTTAATTTGTTCAATAGATTCAGTTAAAACATGTGCTCGATTAAAAGAAACAAATGGACGCTTCAAAATGGCTGCTGCCTGAACAAAGAACGGTGAAAATAACAACTCGTTTACCGCCATCCAAAATACAGATTTCACAAATATAGCTAAATAAAGCATGGCCCGAACTAGAAATCACTTCCTGTAAAGCCCTACTACGACGGATTTTAAATGAAAGATAAAACGAGATTAGTGGAAAAACAAAACGCACGCGTCGGTGAGTCACGAGGTCTGAAGCAACGTCGGGACTTGAAACTCGCCGCGAAACAGGTCCCGGCCGAAAACGTGTTCAAAACATACCTCTCCAAAGATGCGAAGATTTCGACACGGCTTACCGCCAAAAGGAACGCAAAAACCTCGTCGTAAGAACGATGAGAAATCAGGAACACCCAATGGCTCAACGGGGGCTGCTAGGTTTTCCAATGGAACAGATCAACACTGGAAAAACAAAACACAACAGCAAAAGGCACAGAATAATTCACAATTAAAAATACAACCTGTTGCTCGAAGCGCTCGAAAAGAAGTGGTCTGTTCTCTCCAAGCGATCAAAAGGAAGTGACCCATTTTTCAAGACAATACCACCCTCGCTTTGCGCACGTCTGTTTCTTTGGGGTGGTTGGTTGCCAACCTCTTCTTCTTACCAACCGTTTCTTGTGCGCGCGAAATTCATTTGAAATTTAAAAATTCGAATTGGATCCTTACAATATAGTAAGTCTTTGACATCTGGTACATGCCCAGACATCTGGAAACAATCTTATGTCATACCTTTGTACAAATCAGGTGACAAAAAAGATGTTACAAACTATCGTCCTATTTCGATTATAGCAGCTTTATGCAAGGGTCTCGAAGCAATCATCAGTGATACATTAACTAGATCTTATGCAAAGGTTTTGACACCTCATCAGCATGGATTTCTGCCAGGAAAAAGCACAGTAACAAATCTCGCCATCTACAATGAATATATCATTGATGCTTTAGAGGAGGCAGCTCAAGTCGACGCTGTATATCTAGATTTCTGTAAAGCTTTCGAAGAGTCAACCATGCCCTTCTTTTAAAGAAATTAACGATTTATGGCATACGAGGTTCTCTTCACCGCTGGTTAGCTTCTTACCTATTAAATCGTACCCAAAAAATCTCAGTTAAAGGCTTTTTATCAGATGCTATTTCTATTCCCTCGGGAGTCCCACAAGGCAGTCACATCGGTCCTATTTTATTTTTAATATTCATAAATGACCTGGCACTATCACTTAATTTTGTTAGATTTTTATTCTTTGCGGACGATCTTAAAATATTCATTAAAGTTAACGACCTTGCAGATTGTCAAGCTATGCAATATACTCTTATAAAAATAACCAACTGGTGTAGTGAAAATAGCATGCAATTAAATAACAAAAAGTGTAAACAAATAACATTCTCCAGGAAAAAATCCACTATAAAATTTTCATATAGCATTGACAACCAAATCCTGGAGGCTGTTAGTGAAATTAGGGACTTGGGGATCATTTTTAATTCGACTTTAAGTTTTGTTAAGCATATAGATTATGTAATCGATAAGTCTTTTCGAGTTAGTGGTTTCATAAGAAGAATGACTGCAGATTTCCATAACATCATAGCAATTCGTAAGCTCTTTATTACCATGGTTAGACCAATTTTAGAATATGGCATTCTTATATGGTTTCCTTCATATGCAATTCACGAAACTCGCCTCGAAAGGGTACAAAGAAAGTTCTGTATTTATTTTATGTTTAAAATGAGTCTCAATAAATCAAATTACAATTATAATCAAAGACTTGCTATAACAGAACTAGAGACTCTTACACAGCGTAAGTTAAAATTTGAGCTTAAGTTTGCATATAAACTGTTCAATAATCAAATTGATAGTGCCGAATTCCTATCCTTATTTAATTTTAGAGTACCTTTGGTACATACTACGAACCAGGACACAATCTTATGTTCGATTAAAAGAACAAATCTCGGTTACAACACTTCTGTAGTAAATAGAATAGGATTGGCGGTTAATAACTTAGTAGATATTGATATCTTCAGTTGCTCGCAACATATGTTTAACAATTATTTAAGACGTTTGTAGTTATAAGGACATCTTATTTCATATTTTGTTTTTTAAAACTATTGTCTATTTTGGAACTTTGTTCTGTTAGTCAATAAAATTTATTTATTTAAAAAAAAAAAAATAATAAATAAATTTGAACCTTGTACAATTGTTACGTTTCAAGAAATAAAGCGGTCATGTTCTAAAGTTTGTTTTTGTAAAATACCTAATGCCAAAAATTCGAAAAAGTGTATATTTTTAGCGACAAGTTTTTATTTGAATTATGTACATATTATGTAATGATTTCACATTTTCATGTGATAATAAACCATTGCTTAAAAAACGAATCCCTTACTCGTAACACAATACATCAGAAGAAAAACGTCATCAAAATTTTATTAAAATCATCACTTTTACAGCTAGCAATCAGAAACCGCATCACTAACACAACTGGCACGGGTGCATCAATACAAAAAGACAAAAAAACATGGCGGCTCTGTCAATCCAGTTTTGTACAGTACGGTATCAACGATAAAATATAAAAATAAGTAACAAAGATCAATTTCAGTAACTTTGTACTAATTTACGCACTAAACCTAAAGTCTATAATTAATGAAAATGGCGATGAGACCTATCAAGTAAATAACGTAATTGTGTTGCAAATTTCCTGATGCACTGCGGTCGCAGAATTCTAAGTTGCAGTTTTCTGCGGCACTTCGTAACTTAGCTTGGACTGTACTCCAATTGCAGAGACCCACGGAACAATCTGGGTAGTTCACTGGAACCTCGTTGAGGAAAAACATGACACGGAAACGCTCATTGCTGCGGCATCTAGAATAAAACGAAAAGTTAGAGTTTAAATTTATCTAATTGTAGGTCCAACATACTGATATAAGACTGCTGCTAAATTCGAAGCAAAGGGATCGAGGGTTGATGTACGCCACTGACGCCGCTGTTGTTGAAAGTAGTTATCAGCTGTAAGAGGTTGGTAGTCTTTACCTATTCCCATTGCAGTCAAAAACGTTTGTATTGTAATAGAATGTGTGAAGAATACTGTAACTTTGTTTTGAACATTGGATCCGCCAGCATTAACGGTTCGTTCGAATTTTTCGTAGAGATCTTTAAGAGGTGGGCATCCTATTTGTCTATTGATGTCGTTGCCATAGCCAGCTTTGTAATAATATTTGAGATCTTCAGCGTACTCTAACAGTTTCAGTTGTTCTTTGTTAAAAACTATGCACCAAGGAGATGGCTGGCCCAGATTCCTGCAAAACAAATACCAGTTTTAATTATGTACCTAGTTAATTTTTCTTGTTAGAAGAGTAAAGATTATGAAAAAATAAAAGTTACATAACCCTTTGGACCAAAAAAATTCCTTGATTTTTCAATATTTCCCCTTTTTAATAAGGCACCTAAATCTATAAAAATGCATATGAATCAATCTTTCAAAAAAATACAATATGGTGTATGGTTTCTAACTGGAACACTTTTACGTTTGACAACAATTTTAACTGCTATTACAGCATTATGTAAAACAAGGCAGATATCTTTTAAAGGACTTGATTTTCACGTGAAGAAGGCATGTTATGGAAAAAGAGCTGTGAGTCAGAAAGAGGGACAACACCATTTGAAATCACTTTAGGAAGATGATAACAGAAATGACTAACTTTTAATTTATGACTACTCTTTACTCATTTCCGCCTTACTTATTCATACTAACAAGTAACACAAATAAATTGTTCAACCTTTTCACAAATTTTCAATTCTTATTTGGCTAACTAGAAGGATATTGAATAAAATAAATTATTGTTTTGTTATTTTGAAGATCATATGACTTTAAATTAAAAAAGGGCAACAAATGTACACAATGATGGAAAACTTTCAAATGGTTATGCACGCCAAATATAACTTCGTCACCCTTCAAAGTAGATGGTTTTTGCGATTATATTTAGAGACATAAATTATTTTTCTCGCATAGGGTGAACGTAGACAGCTTTGAAAAGAAATGCGGTCGTAGCAAATGTTTAAACTGTCATATTTTAGCATTTTGTCAATCAAATTTCGTACACATGCATGATATATGTAATTACGCTGATGCTTCTTAGGTTAACGCTACTGAATTTACATACCTACCTACACAGTATAATTAAATCTAAGTTTTAATTTACCAGTAAGAAAGCATAACCACACCTTTAAGTGGCGTTAATTGATTTAAGAACAAGTCATTATGGCTGAAGTAATAATTAACACACAACAATTAACACGCCCTTTTTTTTGGCATCGAAAATGTGTGCTACTAAATATCAGTTCGCGAAGATAATGTCTCTTGATTTAAGCTAAGTACCTATTTTAAAGATTCATTTTATGGGTGATGAAGAATTAGCATTATTTTCACTACAAATACCTGCATAAGGTCCCTATTTAATTCACTTTAAGTAGTAAATTATATCTACTCAAAGTGAATTAAATGCTGGAATCAGAAGCATCAGGCACGGAGTTTTTATTCTGATGTCAGATTTTATGAAGATAAATTGATGAGAAGAACTCACGCGGACTTTCGAACCCTAAGTTTCATTTTTTGTTCATTGTTAACAGTCTGTTAACAGTGCGCAAGGAGATAAATAATAAACCTAACTTTTATTAATCTTTAACGCATCCGTGATTTTACTATAAAATAATTAATCTTAACATATCAACACCCAGAAAAGAATTTATGTCTTTGTTTATTTTTTTTTCTAACATTTTTTGTGTTTTGTACATATTTTTAAAGGCATCGCTTTTGATGGTTTGGAAAATGTTCCACAAATGAATTGCTAACTGCAGAAAGGGGATATATCACATTTTTCAAAATGTTGAGGAAATGAATAAAACGTCTCAGATTTTTACAACTACTTGTTTCCGATCCCCGTTTTCAATTGTCGGTTCTCTATGTTCTCAGTTATCAACGAGTGTTGGTTAAATGCATGTTTTCTTTTTTGGGTCAATTTGGCTGTCAAATTTGACACTTGGACTTATCCCCTTTTTGCAGTAAAATGAAAAAAAAGGTAAAAAAAACACAAAAAACAGCTTTATTTCAGTTATAATTTTACACAAACATGTTATATGTATATCTCACTAAAAAACTTAATCATTATCGCGCTCCTGTTCTACAGTTGGCCAAGTAGCAATCTCCGGCCAAAATGCGTTATAAGCGTCTGGGATAAATCGTAAAGTGTTTGTTATATCCGTCATTTTCTTCTGGCTGATGGCTAGTTATTATACTAATTTTGCACTTAATACACGTAGTCATCTTCTCACAACAAAAATTTAAAACATGTTTAAAACGGTAAATTTTTGTAGGAACTACGAATTTTGCAATTATGCTCCGCCCCCCAGTCTGGCAACAAATGAAAATTTCTCCACTATTGAGGTCGCGGCAGGTGTGGGTGGGGCTTAGTTTAATGATGAATTTTTCATTCGTTTCCAGGCCGAGGAGTGAAGCGTCACTGAATAATCTATATTTCCCTACAAAAATTTACCATTTTAAACATGTTTTAAATTTTTGTTGTGAAAAGATGACTGCGGAGATTAAGAAAAAAGGGCAAAATATAAGCCCCACCCACCCACCCTATCTCAATTGTGATGATTTTTTTATTCGTCGTGAGCCAAGAGGGCGTAGCTTAATTGCAAAATTCTTACTTCTCTACAAGAAATTACCATGTAAGACATGTTTTTGAGTGTCGTGTTGGATAAGAATAACGCAAGACGTTGAGACCACGGTGTTTACTGCAGAAAGTCGATATCTCCTGGACATATCCCTTTTCTGCTGTAACCGTAAATTTCATCCGCTTGTAGCCCCGAGCTAAATCATTAAACATGGCCCGTTTTTGCAGTAAAGATGTGTTTAGACCTCTAGAACACGATTATGTACGAATGTTATTGTGGTAAAAAATGGGACTTGTCCCCTTTCTGCAGTTAGCAATTCAAATGTTCTTTAGTTCTGGTAGGTCTTTGCCATGCCACCATATATAAATCTGCGATGCCCTCTATTTGTTGTTCTGCTCTCTTTCTTTCCTTTCAACTTAACCTTTATAACCAGAAATTTCGGAAAATCAGGTTCCAAGCACCAAGTTAGCGTATTTTCCCTATTCTCGCTAGTACATTAGTACAATTATTACCAACAGATTCCATAATTTCACCTAACTATAAATAAATGCGGTTTCATCTGGAAGTTTTCCTTTTTTTTTTTGAACACCTTATCCCATAACTTGCATCTGCTAACACTTCCTCTAACTTTATTGCATGACGTAATAAGGATCCTTCTTTCTGGTAACGTCATTTATCATTTTCAAATCTACGGTTTCTAAGTAAAAAGCTTAGGGAATAATAATAATAGCAGTGGAAGTTGGAAAAAATTATTAAAGTGTTTTGCATACAATTTTCACAAAGTTTGCTATTTTTGTGTGTAACAATTTAGGACCTACGTGCTAATTTTTTCGGTGCTTGATTCAGAATGGCACTTGTCCACCAGCTAAGAAAATTATGACATAACTAATGTCGCTTCTAATTGGTAAACAAGTCGTATTTTTCTCCAGTTGTTGATCGGTTATATATTAGATGGTAATGAGCACAGAAATAAGTCGTTTGTCATATTTTCTGATCCAATAATGTCCGATTTTCGTTAAAATACTTAACAACAAATGTTGAAATACCTTAGATACGTTGTATCAAAATTATGAAGCAATATTTTGTCTTTTTAAGTGATTTTTTTTTTATATATAATTTTATGGAGTTACATTCAATATACATGATTTACATCGGGTGATTTTTTTTTGTCGTGATCTAGTTAGCTAAGAATTTATTAACAGTTTTTAATTCGAAAAAAAATAAAATAAAATTTTAATGAATTTAGCACGTAATTCACTTTGTTCTTAAAAATGTAATGAATTCGGAATTTCACAACATAACCTGAATAACAAGGGCTGTAGCCGAACATAGAAAACTAGTTTATGTTATATCAACAAGAATTAAACCCTTGTTTGATTTGAAATGATTTATTTTAGGCAGGTAACATAAAGGGTTAAAGAAGCTCTAAGTTTATTCCATGTGAAAGAGGAAGTTTATTAGGGTCGGGACATGTTTCGAGGGCACACTGATCTAATCGTCAGCCGATAAAACTAGAACTAGAATAAGGAAATTAGCCTGGGGGTAAACATTTTTGCAAGCGAAATCGCCATTTTTTAGTACTTCCGTGGAATAGCCAAAAAAAGCACCCTTGGGTATGTAGTTCTAAGGAGATTTGTAAAACAGTACAGGTAGGTCATTTACTTCCTGGTTTGGCTTACCACTTATTGTTTTTCTGTGTCACTGAAAACCATGTGTTTCTACCTTCATCTAAAGGCAATAGTTTAAAGAAAAAATTACACTGCACTCGACGCTACTATTCCCCTCAACAAGCGTAATTAGTGTGAGACTAGTTAATAAAGCGAATTAAATAATTTGAAAAAAATCGGATATCCATGACGTTAGCAAATTTAAACGCTCCCGCATATACAAATTTTAAGAAAAAACGGACTTTCAAGTTGAAATACAGTCATACAAGCCTAATATCACAAATGTGTTCTTACCAAGCTTTTTCGAAGCGACAGAGGTCGTACATATCGTCAAGTACGGATTCATTGAGCGTGTATCTGAAACCTAATCTTCGAAATACATCTCTGGCCATCTGCTGATATTCCTGCTTGCGCTTAAATCTCCTATACTGATCCATTGTTTGAGAATTTTCCGCCACCTGTCTTATCCACGCTCTACACGACTTCGTAGGCTACATAAAAAGCTCAATAAAAAAAAGAAGCTATACCTTCTCTTACACATTACCGTGATTAACCTATCATTATTGAACACGTTGGCATGAACCTGATAAGCTTTTTCCTTAAATAAACCCTCAATGTACGCCTGGTAACTATCATGAGTCCTGTCGCTGTCCGTATATTGAAACTATAAATCAAAACAGCAGGGTTAGCAGGATTCCCCAGCACGTGGCGCCATCTGCAGAGTGTCAACTTACACTATAAAGGTTCTCGGAGTAGGGTTCTCGCATTAACTCTTCAAATCTCGACGCATATCGACGCGCCAAGTATTTTAAATCCATTATTCCTTGACTGGTGAGACCGTTGGCGTTGCGTTCGTTGACTGTCTCATTCCAGCGCCATCTATCAAGCAAAACTGTTAAAAATGAGAGTTGAAAACTATAAATAACCACCTTCTAAATAGGTCCAGATCTTCCGGACAGAAGCGACCTCTGTCAGGGAAGGATCTCTTTTCGTCGTAATTTCTAATAACTTCGGCATGAATTTTGTTTAACTGCCTCAATCTCTGGATGGTCTCGGCCTTAGGATAGCGCGTTCCATGTCGATTGATGCTCCAGAATTGAATAGGTGTACAATCTGCAACAATTACATCATAATCTACTCAATTCTTTTTGTCTCAGTTCATTTAAATTGATCTTCAACCTTAATAAGAACAAGTGTTAATGGAATGTCAGAATAAGTCATCACTGAGACACTGAGTCATGCAGTAATTTAATAATTTCTTATTAATGCTGCATGATAGAGGCATTGCTTATAATAATTGTAGTTTGTGATATGTGACCTTGATTACAGTCACCTGACGAACTTCCGACGTATTAAAAAAAAACTTCAGTTTTCGACAAATTTGTATAGTGACAGGTGGGAAAAATTGGTCACAGAAAAATGTATATGATAATTTTTTTAACACAAAATAATAAACCTTATTAGATCCACATTTTTATTTTAAATGCACGAAGCGAATTCAAAGAAGTTCTCCCTGTCATTAAATTCTAATTTTCCAAAACCAAACAAAAGAAGTCGAAAAAAGATAACTCTGTCAAAATAGCTAAAAGTGAAATGGCCCACGACAAAGTAGCTTCCAATAAAAGAGCTTCATTGAATAGATGTCGACAAATTAGGGTGATAAATTCGCGAAATAAGAACAGTGTAAACACTAATAAGGTGGTATTTTTCATCATATAATTATGTGGAGGTTATATGTTAGATGAAAAAAACAATAGAGAAAATGAATTTTTAAATCTAGTCCAAAATTTTATGGTCATGTGGGATACACATTTTAAAAATGCCATTGTATAATCATTTCCTATTCAGTTTCAAATCAGTCGTATAAAAATTCATCCCACAGAAACCTTGCATGCATTTATTTACACAAGTAATTCACAGGTCGTTTAATTTAGCTTCTGTATCTCAGATTATAATTTTTTTTTGTTTTGTTCACTGCAAAAAAATTATATTATCAATATACTTTTTTTACATTTACATAATTTTGGCGATTTGCAAAAATTTAATGTACAGCTTGTCACTTTTTTCATTACATTCATATGAAATTGATTAGATTTCGGCACAGCAAATACTATTTACCTCCAATCTTCACAAAAAACACACCTGAAAATAAACAGTCCTCCCTCGAAACACATATAATACCGAGGAAGAAGCTAAAAAATACTATCAAACACTTAGTCAAAATGTAGCCCCACCCACCCGCCCTATCTCAATTGTGATGAATTTTTTCATTCGTTGTCAAATCGAGAGGCGGGGATTAATTGCAAGATCCATTTTAAACATTTTTAAGTTTCTTGTTCTAAAAAGATGACTACGTATTTAAAAAAATAGGCAAAATGCAAGAAATTACCATGTAAGACATCTTTTTGAGTATCCTGTTATTCTAAGAATACTGTGTATATTAAGAAAAAATTAAAGCCAAAGATTAAGCCCCACCCATATCCGCCCTGATCTAAATAGTAATGAAGTTTTCATTCGTTGGCAGACCTAGGGGCGGAGCCTAATTGCAAAATCCATTTCCTTACAAAAATTTACCATTTTAAACGTGTTTTAAGTTCCTAAGGATAAAAAAAATTATCACAATTGAGATGGAGTGGGTAAGCGGGGTTTATATTTTGCCTTTTTTTCTTAACATACTTAGTAGGTATTCTTTGAACGACACGATACTCAAAAATATGTTTTTAATTTTTTGTAAAGAAATAAGTATCTTGCAGTTAAGCTTCGCCCCCTTGTTCACGGCGAATAAAAAAAATCATTACAATTGAGACAGGGGGGGTGGGCGGGCTTACATTTTGCCGTTTTGTTTGAATATGTGTAGACTTCTTTTCACAACTTAAAACATGTTTAATATGGAAAAATTGTATAAGGAAATATCGATTTTTGCAAAATCCATATTTCCTTGCAAAAATGTATCATTTTAACCAACGTATAAGTTTCTTGTTGTGAAAAGATGGCTACGTATATTAAGAAAAAATAGTCAAATGTAAGCCCCGTCCACCAACCCTATCTCAATTCTGATGATTTTTTTTAAGAAACCCAACGTCAACGGCAACGTAACGGCGAAAATTAAAAGTTGGTCATCTCGAACGTCACCCCAACGGCCTGCCAATTTTCAACAGCAACGTCAACGGATGATATAAACGACGCATACCTTCGCTGCTTCTTTATCTTAAGAGAGGATAATATCTATCACTGTCTACAGAGTAGAAAAAGTTCTGACAATAGTCAAGTCAAGAAATGGAACCATTCCAGAAAAGAGTTCCTTTAACGAGAATTTAGTTAGCTGATAGTTGACACGATTCGAAGAAGAGAGTTGAATATTAAAAATTTAAGTTATTCATTTTCTGAATTTGTATGCACTTGGTTGTTAGAAGAAAAGGATAATCGAAGTCCAGGATGGAAAATTTAGACGAGTATAAGGTCTAAAAAAACAAAGTGACTAGAATTTCGGTGCAAGTCTGAATTTGAAGAGAAAATTAAAGAGATTTCTAGAACTTTATTTGGAAAGAGAAGAATTACTACACTTCGACTTCGGTGAGAGACTGAAGTTCAGGAAGAAAAGATTCTAGATTCTAAATTGTACGATCTTGATGGAGTAATAATAATAATAAAAGATTCTAGACTGTAAGATCTTGATGGTGTAATAATAAGATTAATTATTATTATATCCACTGTATGGTTGTAGTAATATCTCTTTTCTAATAAAATATATTCTAAAAACTATCAATGACGTCACAACTTTGGCAGCTTCAGTGCTAGTTCTAAGGGCAATTTCAAGTTGGATTTACAATTTCGCAAGTCCTCGTTGCCATGGAAGATGCGATGACAGCAGTCGCGAGAACGAATCATATCGCGAATCGTAACAACTGTCATCGAAATTACCATAGCAACGGCACTTGCGATTTCGCTACCCTAAAGTGAACAAATAAAAATGCTTTAAAAAATCTGAAAACTACTAAACCTACGTATAACCTTTAAGAAAAATATTTCTAAAACACACTTCGATTCTTAACCATCCATTCTTAAGATTTTAAATTTGAAAAAGTATTACCTCACAAAGAAATAAACTCACAAAATTGTACGATGTGTACAGATAAGGTTAAAAATTAGTGAGTAGATCTTTCTTTAATCGTTTATAATGGCTTAAAATGCGTTAGATGCAAGAAAAATAATGTATAATGAGGATTACTTAGTTACTTAGTAAAATGGAAGTCTAAACATTTAGTGGACTTATAATACTCATGTATTCACCACGTATCACAATTTTATCTACTACAGTGTAATAAATTTCACTTATCACACTCATTTTAGTTATTAGATAATAGGTTATATTACCACATCTTTGCCATAACATAAGATTGATGCACTTATTTCTTATCACAAATAAAAATATCTTAAATTTATTAAAACCGACTTTAAATTAATCCTGAAGCTACCGATAGAATTTTGTACATACCACATCAATTAACGCATTATTATTACACTCGTATGATTGCACAACTCAGCTGTCGTCTTTTTGTAAACAAATTTCACTTTTAATGGTAATGTTTTTATCTGATACGTCACGTAAACCAGTATTGAAGTTTTCAACTCGAATAAAACTGCCACAAATCTTGAACATGCATCGTTTTAAACCACAACCAAAAAAGACTCCATTAATTGAGGCATTTTTTAATATCTTATGATCAAGATTTCAGATTATTTAAAATTTTTCTTTTCTAAAAAAATGTATCTTTATTTTTTGTTCATTATCGCCATATTTCCTTTTAAATTAAATTTACCTTACCACGCAGTACTAAATTTGCATACACTCACCATCAAGGTAAAGGTTTATAACAACTAATAATTTTATATTAGGTACCACATTTCTGTCACCTAAAATGTACTAATTTCAACATACCTGGTATCGTGTGTTGATTCGAAGCCTTTCCAAACACAATCTGATATGGGGTTTTCGTTGCAAAATTTGAATAAGGTTGTTCGTCTTTGACGTAACAGTATTCTTGACAGCAGTCGTCATTAGTACCAGAAATTGGACTACCATACTGACCAAATTCACTATCTCGATTCCCACTGTAGTACTGATCCCTGTTTCTATCATTCGGATCTCGATTGCCTCCATACTGATCCCTATTGTTTCCATACTGATCGCGATTACCATACTGATCGCGGTTACCATACTGATCACGATTGCCATACTGATCACGATTACCATACTGATCTCTATTTCCATACTGATCGCGATTTCTATCATTCGGATCCCGGTTTCTGTCATACTGGTCCCGATTTTTGTCATACTGATCACGATTTCTGTCATACTGATCACGGTTTCCTACGTTATAGTGGTCACGATTATCAAACCGATCGCGATTATATTGATCACGATTGTACGGATCTCGACTGTCATATGGCGGACCTTGCGGCCCATACTGACTTTGATTGTATCGACCGTATTGCGACTGGTTGTATTGGTTTCGATCGTAGGGAGGGTTATTGCGGTCGTATTGCCCATATTGATTTTGACGATCATAAGGTGGACCGTATGGCTGATTTTGGCGATCGTATTGGTTTTGACGATCACGGTCGTATGGCTGTTGTGATCGGTCGTATTGGGAATTTTGTCGATCGTATGGCTGATCGGTACGATCTCGATCGGATGATGGGGGTGTGTTGTACTGAGCTGAGATTCCGAGGACTGACAGTGTTAGAAGGATGAAGTATCTTCTGAATGTCCTAGAACAAAATAAACTGTGAGTCAAGTAATTGAACTCAAGATACTAATTTGGGTTAAATTTTTGTTGGAACTGACTTATTGCTACTTCTCAGTTACCTCTTTCCAGTAATGTATATCTTCTGTATTTCATTAAAAGGTTAATTTCGATCAAATTTAACACGAAAACTCTTATTTTTGTGTAAGTAGTGTAACAAATCGGGTTTAATCAGTTCATTCGCTAATTCTAACTAAGTACTTGAGAATAATTGTTGCTTGTGACTCATGACTGTCTCTATAAAATTATCACAGTCGGTCCGTGAATGAAAGAAAAAAATTTGGTCGCCTCTGGCGTTTCCGCTTTTACAACAATAAAATGTTTCAATAATGTTTGTTTTTATACACTGGTACTCTAACATTGAACACGCGAAAAAGAAATGTTTCCAATTGTAGATCGTAACGACTTTAACCAAAGGTCGCCACTGTAGGTGGTACCCGATGCCCAAAAATAAATACTTTACCGTTAATTAATGCATTCATATCTACTTCTCTACTTGTCATGTTAATGCTTTGTTAACCCCAGTAGAACGTTGATACAAGGCTTTTTTTTAACCGACGTGTTAACATTAAAATAGCATTACTTATTATTACGACAAATTTACAACATTGTGTGGTTTCAGAACATTTGGTCTTGAACAAGGTCGCTACTAGAGTAATCGAGAGTAAACAAAAACGGAAACTTATTTGAGCTAAATTTCACGAACGTTATTAAATACAAAAAACTAGGTGGATTTTTGTAAGACCTCATTATGAGAAGTTATAATCAATGTCACATTATAGAACGAACATTATGTTACAATTTGTGGTTTTTCGGTACTTTTTACTGTTTCGTTTTTGTAGTTCAATGTGATTTTATAAGTAAATAATATTATTTTTTCTGTTTTAGGAAGAGCTGGAATCTACGGGTCTAAAGCTACATAGAGTATGTTCGGAAAATTTGACAAATAGTCAGGAATTTACAAAAATGCCGCATATTTTAAAAGAGAAAGAAAACTAGACAAAAAAGGTAATCAAAATGGCTTTCAGTAAGATACTTCGCCACCAGTTGTGCAAGAATATATTTTTTTTAATGAGTGGAATTTATAAACTTATTGCTGTTGACGTTGAAGCTGAAAATTCTCATTTATAAACTCCGTTGTCAAGTTGCCGTTGGTAGTAACTTTGATGTTCAACTTTTACCGTATTTAAAGAGGTTGTAGAAGAAAAGTGGAGTATTTAATTTGATTACTACAAAAATTTACAATTTTAAAGGTGTTTTAAGTTTCTTGTTGTCGAAATAAGTCTACACCCGCCCTATCTTAATTGTGATGATTTTTTTTTTATTCGTCGTGAGCCAAGGGGCGGAGTTTAATTGCAAACTCCTTATTTCTTTATGAGAAATTAAAAACATTTTTTTGAGTATCGTGTTGTTCAAAGAATACTATGTAATATATTAAGCAAAAAATAAAGGCAAAGATTAGGCTCCACCCATACCCACCCAATCTTAATTCTCAATTGTGATGTAGGTAAGTACTTTAAGAAAAAAGACAAAATGTAAGCCCCGCCCACCCACCCTATCTCAATAATTGTGATAGTCTTTTGTTAATCGTCAATAGCCAAAGGAGCGGAATTTAATTGCAAAATCCTTATTATTTCCTTACACGAAATTACGATGTAAGACATGTCTTGAGTTTCGTGTATTTTAAAGAATACTTTGTATATTAAGAAAAGATTAAAGCCAAAGATTAAGTCCCACTCATACCTGCCCTGATCTAAATAGTAATGAAGTTTTCATTCGTTGGCAGATTTAGGGGCGGAGCCTCCTTGCAAAATCCATATTTCCCTACAAAATTTAGCATTTGAAACGCATTTTAAGTCTCTAGGAATAAAAAAATCATCACAATTGAGATGAGGTAGGTGGGTGGGGTTTACATTTTGCCTTTTTTTTTTTCTTAATATACATAATACCTATTCTTTGAACGAAATACCTACTCAAAAACATGTTTTTAATTTCTTGTAAAGAAATACATATTTTGCAGTTAAGTTCCGCCCCCTTGGTTCACTGTGAATAAAAAAAATCATCACAATTGAGATAAGGTGGGTGGGCGGGCTTACATTTTCTCTTTTTGTTTTAATATGTGTAGACTTCTTTTTACAACATGAAACTTAAAACATGTTTAAAATTGAAAATTTGTATAAGGAAATATCGATTTTGCAATTAGGATCCGCCCTATATTTGCAAAATCATGTTTTAAGTTTCTTGTTGTGAAAAGATGGCTATGTATGTATATTAAGAAAAAAAAGACAAAATATAAGCCCATTTATATTTTCAAAATGCAGTTTTCCAATTTTTTGGTACATATAACAAAAACCAGAGTCTAAAAATTACCATTATAACGTCGTGACTCTAACGTCGTCAGCTAAAAAAATTCAAAATTCGTTTTAGAATTTAGCTGTGGTAAAAATGAAATTGATCATGATCAAATTTCATTCCGGTTTTATAATTTTTTCTGAAGAATACAAACATCGTTTACTTTCATTTTTTTTATTTGGTGGGTGTTTAGGTTTGCCTCTGTTTTTCGAACACCTTTATAATATATTAGTTTTACATAAATTTGTATTTGAATTGTAACATACAGGGTTTTCATTGACGTTTGATATCTCGTAGGCCATAGATTTTTAAAATTAGTTGGTATAATGACAATAATAGCAACGCGCGACTTTGATATCAAATGTCAAATTTCAAACTGATCTCGACATTTTGTCAGCAATACCAACTTACAAACAAAATACATATCCTACTAGATAAGAAATATTAGTGAAAGCCCTGTTTAAAGATAATAATAACCTTAAATGGTGACAACCCAAATGGACATAAAGAAACTTTAACTTCCTAATGTTGATTAGCAACCAAGATACTAGATTTCCATGGCTTATTGCGACCTAACAAGGACGTGAATGCATTACGGATAAAACTTAAAAACACTGAACTGAATCGATTTTTTTTAGGTATGGATATCGATTTTATAGATGCTAAATTGCATTTCAAGAAATTTTTGCTTTGTATAATAATTCTGTCAGTTATGAAGTCTTCAACTGAGTGCCTAAACAACTTCTCTATGCTCTCCCCTAATTAAGAGATATAAGTATATACACTGACCGGCAAAAAAACCGGCCACCCTGAAAAATTTCGCAAAACCAAACTTTAAAAATTATTAATTTAACTAGTGTTCGTTATTTTATTAAAGAACCATTCACTATTGACACATGATGTATAAATTATCAAAAAAAAGTAGACAAATAAACGCAGAATTAAATTTAATTTAACAAAATAACAGAAACAAAGCGACAATTTGAGAGACGTCTGTAAGAGTTAATTGAAAACGTTTATTAATTGCCGAACTTATAATCAAATGATGAAAAACACTGTTTACAACAACATCCTCCTTTATTGTTTTTTTAAGAAAAAATCGTAGTTGATCCGTTTCTGTTATTTTGTTAAATTAAATTTAATTCTGCGTTTATTTGTCTTCTTTTTTTTTTGCTAATTTGTACATCATGTGTCAATAGTGAATTGTTCTTCTAAAAATTAATAATAAAATATTCTGGAACATTCATTGGAACACGCAATACTTTTTTATGTTTTACAAACATGGAAAGTCTATAGCAATTTTTTTAATTTTTATAGGTCATTATTGTTAACCGAGCCATAATTATTTATGTCATTTTATAAGGTATTACTCGTTAAAATTATCAAACGAAATATTAGCCAGTTGTATCGTATTGACGTCTTATGAATAGAATTTCATATAAAATTTTATCTACTGGAAAAAATCAAAAGAAAATGAAAATTATTTGCTTTTAATTGTATTACATTAACGTTTGAAGGACAAATCCAAATAAGTTCATTCCCGTTTCCTTGGTGAAAAATCGAACTATATATTTCTTGATCAAAAAAAGTATCAATACAAATTCGACAACTAATTTCGTGTCGTTTCGTTTTTATGTCGCTAGTTTTGCAAAGATAAAAAAAATAGCAAATCGTATAGAAATTTACCCTGACAAAAAACAAAAAAAAATGGTATCTACAGTATTAAAAATGAGAAAATTATTGTCAACGAGAAAACCAGAAACAAAATTTCCTTCACTTCGGTTATTTAATCAAGTGTTTTATTCGTTAAATTCGTTCTTCACATTTGTCCCGTAAATTTTACACATTTTTATTTTAGATAACAGTATCACTCAAAATACACACTTTCAAAAATAATTTAAAAAAGTATCGCTAATTCCGTAAAACATCCTCATGAGGCAGAATATACCGGACATTATTTCAGAAGGTTTTATGTGCGTGCTAGCGGTTTCCGTGAAAAACCTACAATGCAACGCCGTAGATGTTGGAAGAGCGTAATTATTAGTGTACTTGCTACTATAATGAATTTTTTATGGTCTTCACTTATATTACCAAGAATTTTAGAAAATAATTCTTAAAAATTATTATACACATACTGAATATTCTGTTCACCTATTAATTTTCTATGAACCATACATATTTAACAATTTTTATTCGAGTTTAACATTACAGAAGAAAGAACATAGTTTTGTTGACTCACAATTGTTGAAATAAATGTTTTCAAAATAAAAAAGTAAAACACGATGTGACTCAATAAATTAAATTATTCTACCATTAGGTACTACCATTAGCTTATCCTTCATCCTTCCTTGAAACATGGTGACTAATAACCATTACCACAGTTATTATACGTGATTTTCTTAGTTCTTCAAATTATGTTTATGTTTTTTCCCTATCATGGATATACCAGATGTACCTTCCAAATTAATCTATATACACACAAAGCTCAGATTTTTATCACCTAATTTATTAAATTTTGTATGTATAAACTTATCCCAGCTTTGTTGAACAAACGTTATCTTCGTTATTGCTAGAAGCAATAGAATGAATTAAAAACCATATTTAATGATATGT